AACCCGCAGATTACGATTTGAGCGCCCTAACCACCTGGCCGTGAGAATGAAAAGAATGCTTCTTCGTGAGCCAGAATTAAAAGATTGCTTCTTCGTGAGCCAGAATTAAAAGATTGCTTCTTCGTGAGCCAGAATTAAAACCACTTTATATATTTCGCAAATATCTGTCTTAAATTAAAATGCCACCCGTTACTACAATTTTTATTATATTCCTTCCGTCATTTTAAGTGTTTTCAAATTCAAAAGGACACAAAAATATTTTCTTTCACTTTATCATACTGAAATTGTTATAAAAAAAGACCACATCAAAACTTATAACGCGCGCGGTAAAGAAGAAAACACACAAACGAATACTCACCCCAACAACTATCGTCTGTTCCGGTAGCCCTCTACCGGCTACATACTCTTGATACTGAGATACGACACACAAAAGACAGTATACCTGTAACGAAAATGGCTGCTTTTTAACGAAGTAAAAAGTATTCAAATTATTATACAAATATAAATCTACAGTGGAAACATTTGACACAAAAGTGTTATAATAATAAAAATAGTAAATTAGAATTAGAATCGCGAAATGGAATTTTTGTAATCTATAAAAGTATTGGCCCTAACTTTTCATAAGCTTTATTGCACTATATACATATATGTAACCCACACAAAGATTTTACGTATAAAACATTAGGCTAAACTATTTAATTCTTCATATTAAGGATATGTTAATTATATTTGAAAATGGTAACACGTAATTATAGTATTTTAGCACTTGTGTATAAAGTTAAAATCATAAATAATATTCAACTGGTACAGAATTAAAAACATTTTATTAAGGCCTATAATGCCCTTAAAAAAGTTGACGACTCTACACGTTTCGACGTTACATCCCGAGGATGACGTTGTAACGTCGAAACATGTAGAGTCGTCAACTTTTTGAAGGGCATTATAGGCCTAAATAAAATGTTTTTAATTCTGTACCAGTTGAATATTATTTATGATTTTATCTTTATACACACGTGCTAAAATACTATAATTACGTGTTACCATTTTCAAATATAATTA